AAAAAAAAAAAAAAAAAGATTGTTAAATGGAGAAATCTGGCAGGCACCATGCTTGCCAAGTAATTAGTGAACATCACCAATAATGAGACAAACTGACATTACATGCCTACTGAGGTTATAAAAGAAGAACACAACAACACCTAGGTAGTAATTGTGCCAAACACTATTCAATCTGAATCTAATAATGGGGAAGAAGAACAAAAATCCAGATTGTGAATTAGCCTGCAATGTCAAGTTCACAGAAGAGGGAAAAGGAGAACTACTCTAGATGAAAAGAGAATATGGAGAATGACATCTAAATGCAGTATGAGAGCCCTGATTGAAACTGTGTATTACATATTATTTTTAAATCAATATTAGATAGTATGGTAATACTGACTGTGATAACAGTATCATCATTTCTGTATTAGAAACATCCTTAGTATCAAATTCAAGCTGGAGTATGGGTGAAGGCTCATGTCTGCAACTTTGAAATGGTTCAGTTTCTTAAAAAGTATCTATCTACAGAGATGGAGAGCATGACAAAATAAGCAAATGAAGCAAAATGTTAATAATTAATGAATCTATGTAAAGGATCTATGAGAATTCTATTGAAGATTTTTGCAGGGGCGCCTGGATGGCTCAGTTATTGAGCGTCTGCCTTTGGCTCAAGTCATGGTCCCAGGGTTCTGGGATCGAGTCCCACATTGGGCTCCTTGCTCAGCAGGAAGCCTGCTTCTCAGCCTCCCCCTCCCCCTGCTTGTGTTCCCTCTCTCGCTGTGCCTCTCTGTCAAATAAATAAATAAAATCCTAAAAAAAAAAATCTTTGCAACTCTTCAATGAGTTTGAAATTTTTCAAAATAAAAAGTAAAAATAAACAAGCTGGAGGTTAGGGAAAATCCCATAAATTTTGATATAGCCCAAACTCTAGCAAATCATAAAAACCCGTTTTATGATCTGCTCCCGGGATACCTAGCTCACTCATCTTTAACTACTTCTTCATTTATATCCTACTCATAACTACTTAGTCCCTGAATATGAAATGCTGTTTCACACTTATTCTTTACACATGTTCCTCTCCCTTTAACTGGTTAATTTACCTGTTCTTCTAGATTGAGGACTTTTTCAGTCCTGGCTACACATTAGAATAACCTGAGGAATTTATTTATTTATTTCAAAGATTTTATTTTTTATTTATTTATTTGACAGAAAGAGACACAGCGAGAGAGGGAACACAAGCAGGGGGAGTGGGAGGCTGAGCAGGGAGCCCGATGCAGGGCTCGATCCCAGGACCCTGGGATCATGACCTGAGCTGAAGGCAGACGCTTAATGACTGAGCCACCCAGGCACTCCAACCTGAGGAATTTTAACAACAACAACAGAAAGTAAATGTCTACACCCTATTTCCAGAGACTGATTTTACTGGATTGGGTTGAGGACCACTCCTTATTGAGAGTCTTGTGCAACTTGCCTTCATAGCACCTATCAAAATGTAACCATTCATATCCTCAATTGTTTCCCACAACTTTGTCCCCCCAGTACCTTACACAGTATTGAACATGTAGTAAGAAAAATACCTGCAATGTGAAAGTATTTCTCAGATTCAGTGGCCAGCAAGCAAGAGGTAATTACTCTGTACAAAACACTTCCATTTTCAAAACTTTCACAGCAAAGCTACGTATTGGCTGTTTTATCTATCCTCCAAAGACTAAAAACACACTCAATAAAAAATTCTATCATAATACATTATTGCAAAGGCAAAACTATAGGGAAAGAAAACAGATCAAGGGGGCGCCTGGGTGGCTCAGTTGGTTAAGCGACTGCCTTCGGCTCAGGTCATGATCCTGGAGTCCCGGAGTCGAGTCC